TTCATTCCTCGTGCAGTTTGCGACGCGCGGTGTCGATGCGTAGCGGTGGCGCTCCCATCGTAGAAGCAGCGGGGGATGAAGGAGCCAATGCGTTGCCGTTAACGTTCCCGCGTGATTGTGCTGAGGAAGTGATGCTCTTAACCGACGTTGCACTACGTGGCAGAGGCGAGGGGTTCATGGTGGGTCCTTCACCCAGGCGAGATGTGGGGTTTATTCTGACACTCATTGAGCTGCTTGGTCACGCTGTTGTTGCGGAGATGCAGGAAATTTCTACGCGGTGGGATTACAACATTGTGCCAACGCGACGTCTGCGAAAGAAGGCGTTGATGGTTCTTACTTCGCCTGCAGAGCAGGAGTACAAGGCAAATCAGACCATCCAGAACTGTGTGATGAGGTTTGCTTATCTCCTCGAGGGATTGATAGCGGGAGCTGCGGATGCCTTGCTCCACCTTCTTCCAGACAACCACAGTTTTTCCCGCATGTGCAATGCCGTGGGACTCATTTTATACGACATGGATGGCCACACGGGGGGTCAGCTTCTGATGCACCTTCTCCGCCTGCGGCCACCCAAGATCACGCTGGACCTCGAGGCCCACATGGCGATTATTCGTTGCCTCTCTTCTATGCGGCACGGATGCACGCTCTGGGAGGAGGCTGTACTGCACTACACACAGGCCGTCAACTCCCTGGTGAACGCCAGGCAACACAACCCTGTGGTGCCCCATCGTCGTCCACACGTCCCCGAAGATATTTCCAGTGCCCGCCTGCTACGTTGTATCAGAAGCAGCCCTTTGCCGCGTGAGCCAAGGAGCGCGTTGACGTTGCGTATTGCTGCTTTTGCACGGGCATATAGGCTTCCTTTGAGCGCTCAGTCTTATTCCTCTTGCTTGCTTAACTTTACGGGGAAAACAACCCATGGGCATCTTCACTGGTGCTCCGTGGTGTGATGCTTTAGAGTGGTATAACGATGCAATGACCCGGATGAAGCAGACGCTCATGCTACAGCAGGATCCTCTATGTTTTCAGGTGGCATGCTTACTGAGTTTACTTGCTTAGGGTAAGTGGTCCGAGGCGCTGCTTTGGCTTCCGCTGGCAGACATTGTTCGCCATCACGATGGCGCAGCGGAGTTAGGTCATATCGCTGGTAATGTGCCCTTTCTGCTGAGGCTCTGCGCATCCGACCGAACACGGAGCTGCGCCAGTGCTGCGAGGTCGCTGCTCCAAATGCTTCGGCTTTTGCCTTCGCCTACACCAGGAACACAGGCGGTAAATCTTGAGGAAATGCAGAGCTTGTGTCACGTGGCGAATACCCTTCCTCTCCTGCATACGGAGGTGAAGGCGGCGACTGGGGTGCCTCTGTTTCGCCACGAGGCACCGTTGATTCCCAGGCCCCCACTGGAAAGTGACGGCACGTGGACGCATTCGTTGGGGTTAAGTGCTTTCTCTTGTTGCAATCCCTGCCACAGTCTGGATGCGCTGGTGGGAAAACTGGAGGACGCCGCTTTGTTGGGTTTGCAAGGAGCGACAAGTGATACTGCTGGGAGTGGTGGAGGTGATCCACTTCAACCCTAGGCGCGCATGCGAGTTTGTGAGCGTATGTCTCGTGCATTTTTGCCTCTTAAAACAGTGTGGTCGGCGGATGACTTTCTGAGGCGGGTAAATGCAGCTGATGAGGAGGCAACGACGGGTGAGGCGGTGCGCTCACGCCTGGACACCTGCTACGCCAGTGTCATTCTGCTGCTGCGAAGGTTTGAGCGACTGCGCGCAGAGAAGAGGCGGGGCATGCGAGGACGTGATTTTGTGCCACGGCCGGGTGACGGAGTGGGCGGATAGAGGGGCCCCCGAAAAGGAGGGTGAGTGAAGGGAGGGGGTCTGCAAACGAGGGAATAAAAAAAACAACAACAACATGGAAGGAGAAAGGGCCACTTACCACCGAACTTGATGCTGCGCTGTAGTCCGTGTTTGTGGTCCCCTGTTTTTTGCCGTATTGTCGATATTATGCGGCAAAACGAGCCGTACGCGCGGTCGGGCATTCTGTACCCCATCGGTGTGGAGCTGGGGGCGAAGGTGGATAAATGCACGCCTCGTGAGCTACAAGACAAGGTTGACAGTTTACTTGCCCGTTCCCAGCGGTCTGCAACAGTCAAGACGGGAATGGTGTATAACACCGATCAGTCGGTGGCGACTGAGATCAAGGCGTATGAGCGTTACGTCTTCACAGGCAACATGCGTGGGGGGCACATTAAGGGTGATCACCGTTTTGGCCCACGGTTGACGGGTTATGGAGGCGCTACGACAAGGCCAGGGCTGAGATGGAACGGAGACGACTTGTGATGTGAGTGTGTCGGCAAGTAAGCTTTTTTTTTTGGTGGGCAGATATGGATGCGTATATGCATAGCTGTTGCGCTGTACGCTGCCCTTGCACGGGCAGTTTCTACAGCACCGGATGAGGAGTGACGATAGTTGAACTACAAGGGCTTTCTTCAGTGAGTGACGACGATGATGATTATTGCTGGACGAATACACCCGTCTGTGTGTTGCTGTTTTGAGTCACCATGTTAACATGCTTCTTTTCTCTATTTGTTTATCCCATTTTTCCCGATTTATTTTTCTCTCGCCTTCGCCTTTTCTTTTTCGCTATCGCTTGTGCTTCTTCTTTACCGGCAATCGGAAGTCGTTTCGTGGAAGAACGAATAAAAGCCCTAGACGAGGTGAGAAGCAACCAACAGCAAGGAATAGCTTTGACTGTGAGCCCACCGCGGTGAAGAAGGAAGGGCGAAAAACGAGGGGTGAGGGGATAGATGATTGTAGAGGACACCGCTGCGGCTGAAGTGCCGACCGTTCGGCGAGTGCGCCGGATGCGCATGCATTTTGAGCGACTTGTTCGCCCATCTGACGTGCAACCGGGTGACTCGATGCCCAGCATTGAGGGATGGGTTCTGTTCCTCACAAACCTGCCAGCCAACACAACCACGGACCACATTCTCGACTTGTTCCTCACCCACAAGAATGAGAGGGGCGAGGGATGTGCCCCTGTTCGCGAGGTAAGGCTGCCACTGGACAAAGACTGCTGTTGCCGCGGCTATGCATTGGTTGAGCTGGAGCGAAGGGAGGCTTTTGAGCGGGCGTTGCAGGAGTTAAACGGTGTTGTGCTGCCGTTTGCCGAGGGGGAGCCGCCAACGGGCGAGGATGTCTGGCGTCTACAGATTGCACCAACGTTTTTGGGTGAGGAGGACGATGACGATATTCCGTTGGCAGGCGAGAAGCGGACTTTGGAGAGCATTGAGTGAACCTTTTGTTTGATGTGTGGATGTCTCACACATTTCGTCTGTGTTCTGTCCGTTTTGAAGCCGCCTTGTTTTGTGCAGTTGGCCCTCATATTGTCTTGTGCGAGAGTGAGCGGTGACAGCAACGACAACGAGGTGAATAATAATAATTCTTTTAGAAAACCAAGAAGAGGAAGGGGCGATAATCATCCAATGTAGGAGCTGTTTTTGCTTTTTTTTTCTCTCTCCTCTCGGTGATGTGTGTGTGTCGTGCCTGCGCCTGTGGCTGCTTCTCTTTCCCCGCTATCTCCCCTTATTGATGCCCACACACACGCACCCTACGTGCATTCCGGTGTATCGTTAGCCCTCTTGGTTTGCTGCCTTGCTGTACGCCTTGATAAGCATTTCCTCTGTTGTTGTTGTTTTTTCTTCTGCTTCGTGTGTGGGGCGCTTGCCTTGAATAACTACACATGGTAGAGTGTGAAAGAGGGGGGCATACTTTGGCGCCAGCCCTTGCAACAGGGGACACACCCCTCCTTCAGTTCCACTTATGTGAAGCAAGCAACAGGCAACAAGCGAAAAAAAAAAAGAGGCAAAAGGATATAAGCGGCCATCTCATCACGTCTTAGATTTTACGCCATATTCTCTAATGAGGGACGGGGTTGCTGGTGATTCTTCTCCCAAGCCGTCTCACACATGTGCAGATCTTGCGGATTCACAGCGAACAAGTCTGCCATTTGTGCTTTTTGAACTTGTGATGGTGTCCATATTTACCTTTACGTACTTTTTGATAAGGCGTCAGCGGCGCCTGTTCGAATTGCGTGCGCAGCAGCGCCATGAGAGAATGGCTCGGATTGAGGTGGGGTTTGGCGTGAACGCGAATACTCCTGAGCACAGCGGTGTGTAGCAGAGGTAAACCATGGAAGTCTCGTTTTTTTTTTCCACAGAGCGGGATGGAATCTTCGTCGGCGTTTCTGCTTACTCGCGTGACAACACCGCTTACGAAGAGCAGAGTGGCATGATACAAACTTTGGAACATGCGTGATTTTTTTTTTTTTAGTCATATCGTTTGATATTCGCCATCTCTTTTGTTTCTACTCTTTTTTTTTGGTTATTTGGCGGTGGCGGCAGCAGTGACGAGAGAACCCGCATATGCGCTGTGCCTGAATGCTCTCCTTTTTGTTGTCTCCGTTGCTTGTGGCGTTTTATGCGGGGAGGTGCTTCGACTGAGTTTCTATGCGTTGGCGGGGGTGTTGTTTTTCGTCGGCGCGGTGGGATGCAGGGCCTGACGCGTCCCCGAAGTGTCGGGGTCCTCTCCATCGGCCTTGGCCACATGCTGGAAGCCGCCGCGATGGCATACACCCCCGCGCGTGAGGACCACCACGCTACGACTACCGCTGCTGCCTTGTCTCCTGCTGATGGTAACTCCTCCCCAGAGCAGTGTGGCGGTTCTGGGAGACTGGAAGACGTTGGATCCATCGCCACCGCCAAATCCGTCTTGCTGTGCTTACGCCGCCCGTCCTCACGTGTGGCGGCGGACAAGGGTGACGTGCAGGAATACACGTGGCACTGGGGGAGGAGCAGCGTTCAGCGCAGGAAACGTGTCATTCAGCGAACGATGGAGGCACGACCGAGACTTCTAGCGTTTTTGCTGTGGCCCTGTAAGGGGGGGGGGGGGGGCAGAGGGAGGCCCCCAAGCGCAGCACAGTAGTGACAGTGACGACGACGAATACCGATGCGGTCTGACGCGTCTCTGGTCTTTCCAAAGATTTAGCAAACCCCTTGCAGACACCACGCTACATCAGGAGAAACCAGGGCGCAGTGGTGGCGGCAAAGTGGAGGAAAACCTGTTGAAGGAGCAGCGGGGGAAACGTCTTGCGGTGCGTACCGCGCTCTCCACGCGGAGGACGTGCAGCGGAGATGGCGAGGATGCTGTGAATGGCGCCGATGACAAGGTGGAAGTGTTTGATCGGCTGTACGCGAAGGGATCGCGACTTTGGAACAAGCAGGAGGAGCTTTACCGACGAAGAGAAGAGACACGACGCAGGGAAGACAATAACAAAATAATTATATTACCGGGAAGGCACCGAGGAGGGCGGGTCCACAGCGGTGGACATGCTCCCATGACAGAAGCGGAGAGGAACGGGCTCTTTGAGCGACTTGCTGTGCCGCTGCAAAGGTGTGAGGGGGAAAAGGATAACACCTCTCTTATGTGCGATGGAGTGAGAAACGGGGAGTTCGAGGCGGAGGAATATCAGCAATATGTCTCGCAATGGTATGTACCATCCTTGCCCACGCTGACATTGGCGGATCTGGAGCGCCACAATGAGCTGGTAAGCTCGGTGTGTTAATGGCCCTTCACTGTGTGTTGATTACTCTTTGTTTTTGTTTTGCTTTTTCATGCTTCTTTTCCATCCTTGAGAAGGGGGTGGGGGAGGCTCTGAACCGTCAAGCATTGCACACAGAGACGTCTGTTTCAGAGTGCGTACGTATGCACATACATGCACACCTCCGTGATTGTTGCTCAGTGTATGTATATATATATATATATTCCTCATAACTTTCTGCGCCGGCTTCTCTATCTGTCTGTGCGTGTGTGTGTGTGTGTGGGTGCATAGATGCGTCGTGTGGATCCTACAGTTCCCTTTTCACTTTTGTAAAATAAACAACACATTTGGCGTTTGTGAGAGAAGGTGCGATAATATGCGGCGATGCCCTTAACGACTTCTCTCTTACTTTCCTACGAGTCGAGTGAGAATTTATGTTAATATATATGATGTATACATATATATTTGTTTTCTCTGCACCATTTTTTTTTCTTTTGCAGGAGGCAGCGAATTGCTGTTTTGGGCGACTGAGTGGGGGAAATTAATTAGTGTGTGATGCCTCCTCCGCGAGGCATGCAGCGGCACCTGAACGGCAAATCTGGCGCCTACACCGAGGAGTACCACCGCCTCCTTGGCAGATCGACGTGGATTGTCGTGCGACACCTCGACCATGCGGACGCCAAGGGCGCCGTCATTCTCTCCGAGGGGGACGTTGCCACTGTCTTCTCTCAGTTTGGCGACGTGGTAGATGTGCGATTTGTGCGACACCGACGCACGGGGCGTTTCTTGGGCACGGCCTTTGTGAGGTTTGCGGACTACCGCAGCGCCGTGCTCGCCGCGGACGAGATGAATTCCAACCATGAGACTGGGCAAGAAGTGCGGTTAACAGCAGCAGGCGCTTTGGCGGGGCGCGGGATCGAGGTGGAGCGCTGCGACGAGGCGGAAGTCGTCGTGCTACCCGATGACGTGGAGTCGTACCCGGCGTGGGTCGCCAGACTGGAGGCTGGAAGGATGTCTCTGACACACTGAGGACGACATGCGCTTTCCGCTGTAGTTTTGTTTCATTTTGCACGCGTGTTGCTTGTGCGTTTCCTGTCAGCTTGCTGCAACGGGGCCCGCCCTGCACGAGGACGAGGGAACAAAGTGGAGGCCAAGGGCGGTGCATGGTGGGCTTTGCAGGAGTACGCATGGGCTCGCGTGAGAAAAGAAAAGGAGATGAGTGCCCGTAGGATGAACTCCTTTTGCACTTACTCCTAATGGTGTGCGCACTTTGTTGTTATGATGATGATGATTTATTTTTTTTTTTTCTACTCTTCTCATTTCTCTTTCTTTCTCTGTGTGTGTGTGCTGGTGGTGGTGGTGGGCTCTCTCGCAGTTGCAGCAGGGACGGGGTGCTCTATCGTAACGATCCGCATTTTGTTTTGACGAATACGTCTGGCTCCCTCACTCCGCGAGGTCAGGGGCGGCAGCGAGAGGCGCCAGCGTCGTCAGAGATGGCCTTTCCGACCTGTGTGCTCTCTGAGGTGCGTGGCGCCGCGTTTAGCGCGTTGTGGGGCATCGTCATCAAGGAGGACGGCAGTGGCGCGGCCGCGGGCGGGGTGCACCAAAAGGACAAGACAGTCGTTTTCCAGAGATTTACCCCGCGGTGATTATCAACGGTTGGTGGAGGTAAAATGCATGACGGCAATGCGTACGCCTCCGTGGAAGGTGATTTAGAGCAAGCGGGCTTTTCCTGGTGCTTCCGCGGGTTTGACAGGATGTTCGCCCTACTGGAGTGGAGCCGCCCAAGCGCGGCACAGGTGGCAAGGGCCATCAGCAACCTGAAGACATGTTTTTAGTCCCCTAAGAATGAAAATTGCATCGCGCGGAAGGCGGGGTTGTAGCCTCCTGAAAGAGAGGGAGGCGGGAGATGACAAATACATTGAAAACGAAAGGAAGAGGGATGAAAAACTTCTCATGGAAGGCGCCAAGGGAAAAAAAAGGAAGGAAACATATAAGAGTGAGTCCCTTTAGTGGTTAGTGCCAGTTTTTTTTTTTTTTTGCATGTGTTTGTGTTATACGTACTTGTGGATTAATACCGCCGCCTCATCTGCGCTGTTTTCGCATTCATGCCTCTTATGTGATGCTTGTGCCACTGCCGTTTTTTCGCGCTGCATGCAGCTTTTTTCCCCTTCTGTCTGTCTGCTGTTCAATCTTTGCTTGCCAGAGAAGGTTGTGAAACCTTGATTTCTGATGTCTGTTGAGTGCCTGGCATACCGGCAGATCCTCAAACAACTGGGGCGGGTGTCGTTGCGGTACAATGAGCTAAGCCATGTGTGCTTCACCGTGTTTGGGGTCATGCTGCGTATGGAAGACTTTGCCGCTGCTGGATACGGCAACACACCACAGCGGGTGGTGCGATCGGCGTTTTTGCGTCCAAGCATCACTGGGCTCGCCAGCGATGCATCGGCTGCACGCCTGTCAGCCGCGTTTGATATCCTGCGGCGCCTCAATGATGCTCTGAGGTCGGATGCAAAGACGAGGACGCTTGTGGAAGAGCAGACTACCACGGCCTCGCCTCCGCGCTCCTCTGCTAGAGCGTTGGAGAAAGAAAAGACCACGGGTGTACAATGCACAGGTGAGGCTGGAAAAAGCAAGACAAGCCTGCACGACGACGCCCAGGAGGGTGACGAGGATGATGTCATTACTATCGCCAATGGAACCATCTTTATTGAGGGTTCTGTGGGCCGCAAGGTGCGAAAAATATCACGCCATGTTGTGTTTTGTATGGTTTTAGACCGCCTCCCTTTATATCGTTTTTTGATACCACCTGAACCGTTATACACGAGAAATATGCGTACAAGCTTTAAGTTTCCGCTTATGGTGGACGCGTTGCTAGTTATGGCCGCCTTGTCAAACGTGTCGGGCAAGGTTCCCATAGTAATACAAAACGATGTGAAGACGGTGGAAGAGTACCGCGCTATGCGGGCTTCAATTCCCACACGCACCGTTACAGTGTCGGATCACGTAGAAGTGGAGCTGCGGACAGAGTACGTTTGCTCCAGCATTGCTGACGAAGAGGTTTCTGACGCCTCCAATGAAGGAGAGATACATGCATCCCTTCCACGGAGTAGCGGCGGAAGTGTTGCACCTGCATCAAGGGAGTACGTTTTTCGATATGTTGTGTCTATTCGAAACTATGGACCCTCTAGAAATGCAAAAAAATGGCATGTCCAGCTGCTCTCGCGTCACTGGGTTGTCTTTGATGAGGACATGGGGCAAGTCACTGAGGTGACTGGTCCTGGCGTGGCTGGCAACTTTCCCCTTTTGGCGCCTGGAGAGTCGCACACGTATGAAAGCGGCGTCAGCTTGTGCGGCACCACCGGCGTGGTGCGTGGCACATTTCAGATGAATGCCTACAACGAAGATGGTGAGTCGTGTTACATTGACGTGCACATTGGACCGACTCGTCTCTGTGCAACAGGGGCCGTGTGACATTCAACAAATAAAACAACAACACATATGGCTCTTTGACATGGCACTGGTTGATGCGTTGTGTGGGACGAAGCGAAGCGGAGGAGCTGTGCGCAGAGTTTCTTTTTTTTTTTCCTTCTTTTCTTTGCTTTCTCCGCCCAAAACGATCAGACACGTTTCAGCAGTGGGGGACGAAGGAAGAAAAAAAAAACAAAAACAGGAGCCAACTAAAAGTTTCAAACGAAAAAAGGAACAAAAATAAAATACTTGTCGAAATAGCAACCAATATATGAGCATGTCTGGTTCTCCCCTGGCCGTTTTTTTCATGGACCTCGGTAATGTGCCACACAGTGTGAGTCAACTGCTACAACGTTTTATTCTGAGAGACGGCGTCATTGTGGGCTGGGGATCGGGCTGTAATGGTGAACTTGGCACCACCTATTGTTGTAACCTTATTACCCCCTTGGTGATTAGTGGCCGTGACAAGGCTATACGGATTGGCTGTTCTTCAACCTCCTCCGTATGGCTGGGTACACGCGGGACGGTCATTACAATGGGAAGCGGCCGGTGGGGGGAACTTGGGGTACCCAATCCAAAAACGTGTCCGCTTGTTTCCGCCACTGATAATGGAATTCCCATTGCCATTATACAGATTGAATTGCCCAGGCTTTTAGGAGGGGATATGTTTATCGATGTTCAAGGTGGTTTTGCGTTTTTTGCCGCATTGTCTGTAAAAGGAGAAATTTTTCTCTGGGGTGCAAACAACTACTTTCAGTGCTCACCCAATGTGGATCTTAAATGTTGTCCTACAGCACAGCGCCGCAGTATTCCGGGTGAAAAAGTTATTCAAGTAGCGTGTTCAAACTTTACCGTTCTTGCACTCACTGCATCTGGTTCTGTGTACGGCTGGGGGCACACCTTTCTTCTTTGCGATGGGAGCGACGTGCTTGAGCAGGTGCCGGACGAGTTGGTGGTTGGACTCAAGGCTGGCTCAGATAATCGGACGGCTGTGCTTGAACCCGTCAGGCTCAGGGCTCTAGAGGACAAATCTGTAGCATTTTTGCGAATGGGACCGTGGCACGCAGTAGCGGTTAGCACAAATGGTCAGGTATACACGTGGGGGCTTGGGAAAAATGGGGCGCTCGGTCATGGAAGTGAGAGTGATGTGACGACACCAAAACTCATTACAACGATTAACACCAAAGTTATGGAGGCATCGTGTGGTAGTTTTCACACATGTTTTGTGACTGCCGATGGTTTAGTTTATGCCTGCGGCGACAACCAAGGAGGACAGTGTGGGGTAATGGGAGAGATGAAGATCACCACCTGTCGTTGTATGTATGTCCCTTCTTATCATAAAGTGATATCGGTTACGTGTGGTCGACACCATACATTGCTTCTTCTAGAAACAGGGGAGGTTGTTTCCTACGGGACAGGTCTGGGTTTAGGCATAGGTGCTGGGTACAGCATGCGCATGGTGCGTGGCTTCCATATCTTGGATAATTATACAACATTATGCCTATCTGGAGGGTCCTGCCATAATTTTTCCTTAGCGATACCGAAAACCTTGTCCATGATTTTTCTTGGGATTCCACACGGTGATGTTCCCCCGGCACTTCGAGTGATTGACTTGAACAATGGATTACTAGGTGCAGCTTTGGGGCAGGACTTTTCTCTTTTGCTGACGCGACGCGGTTCCTGCTACACCATGGGTGTAGGGGGATGCGGCCAGCTAGGTTTTGATACCCGTAACATAAAGGAGTTTACCTCCGACAAAGTGCCTGTGGTGCGCCATGCCACGCGCGTCTCGTATTTTTTTCGGACGACAATCGCACAGGTTAGTGCCGGCGTTAGCTTTGCTATGGCTCTTAGTGACAGTCAACGCGTGTTTGCCTGGGGAAGCAACACCTACGGCCAGTGTGGACTTGGTGTGTGCCCGAAGCAGTATCGAATTATAAGCGAACCCCGCGAGATCACATGGCTAGCCGACAAGTTAATCATTCAAGTTGCTTGTGGCTGCTTCTTTGGCATGGCACTTGCCATCACGGGGGAGGTGTACACCTGGGGTGCTATTGAGTGCTGTGGTAATGGGCTGCAACCTCTTCCCTCCATTGTGCCAGCGAGTCTTATCATAAGTTCAGTGGGACCTGAAACCATGGCCAGTGTGTTGCTTCCGGTAAAGGTATCAAGTTTATTTGGTATTGTTTCGGTAGCCGCGGGATCGTCGCATGCCGTGGCACTGAATGCGCTGGGAGAGATATTTACCTGGGGTATTGGCAGATGCGGTTGCCTGGGACTTGGGACAATAGAAGATCATTATGTGCCTAGTAAGGTTAAGGTCTCCATGAGAGCTCACTTTGCCCGCATTGGCTGTGGCCCCTTCTCCAGCTTTGGTCTTACCGATGAGGGAAAGATGTACGTGTGGGGCGCAAACGATCGGCGGCAGCTGTCCGTGGAAGGTACCTGTGCGTTGTTCCCAGCGCAGGTTCTTGATTGCGTGAAGGAGGCGGCGATGGGGAAGCACTACACCCTTGTACTGACGCGCGCCGACGAGTTGAGGTTTGCTGGAGTCTTGGACGGTGAGGATGGCCGACGTGTAAGCCACTCCTTTTACGACACAGAGGCTCTGCCTCCCCTCATTACACCAGCTGCTCTGCAAAAGAACGGCTATCGTGCTGTGCGCATCTTTGGCGGCGTCGGTCATGCCATATTGTTGGTGGAGAGGAATACCATTGATCCTGACGTCATCGCTGGCTTGCACTACGCGATGCGGGAGCAGCCACGACGCATCATCACACGGCTCATTAAGTAACGCTACTGCGTTGTAATGCGATGTGAGAGATAGGTATAAATGGACAGCGCGTGTGATAAGAGAGGTGGTACAAGGCGCAAAGTAAAAAGGAGGATATAGTGAGGCCAGAGTTATTTGTTTTTTATTATTTTATGATTTATTTATTATTTATTATGTTTATGTTTACTTTGTGTATTGTTATTGTGGACTTTTTTCTTTTTTTCGTGTGTGTGCGTTTTGTTTTTGTTGCCGTTTGCTTTACTGTGGTGAATTTGAACACATATGTGAATCTCTGTGGGCAACCGAATGGTCCGGTGCATATTACTCACCACATGTGTATTGGCATTGGCACCTACCACGTACATGCATGCACCTGTGGACATTTCTCTTTCTATATGCACATTTATGCATGTATGTGAGGGAAATCCAATTTAAGGTTTGCTTGTTTGTTTGTGGACTCTACTCAAGCAACGACGTGCATGCGTTTTGGACGACAACCTTGACGTTCGTGCCGTTCGCCTAACCCCTACTATATATATATATATATATCAGTTTGTATATATGTGCATATTTGTATGTGTATAGGCAGGTAAGTGGCGGTGTGTCTGCACGTCTCTGTCCCTTTCTCTATGTGTGTGTGTGTGTGTGTGTGCCTCATGTCTGAAGTTAGTAGCGTTGTGGGGTGCAGCGGGTGATCTAACAGCGGCGAAGCAGCGGAGAAATAAAGGAAGGAACTGGCTTTTATGTATGTGTGGGTGGGGTCTTATGGGAAATAGATTTTAACAACATCACCCATTACCGCCAACAGCAAGAAGCAACAAAGCACGTCAGCAACATGAATTTAGAGCAAATTTGGGTTGCCGTTGGCGTTTATGTTTCTTTATTTTGGAGCGGGCGAAGGGCTTACACTTGAACGTGGTTGTACACACGCATGTCTACGCGCTTGTCCTGTTTCCCCCCCTCAATCTGCATGCATCTAAGCAGGTGCCGCATTGCCGGTCCGCCCTAAGGATTACTTCTTTTTTTTTTTGCAGTGGAGTTGGCGTCTGCGCAATTTAATTCATTTTTTTTTTTTTTGCGCTCCCCAGCGTGCGGTTGTGCGTGTGTGGGTCGTGCCTGGCGCTGGAAGGGACCAGGCGGCAGGGCACCTCACAGCGAAGCCACACGGCCACAGGGGTGTGACAAGGAGCAGAAAGGCGTAGGCTTGGCGTAGCAGGGGCGTCAGGGCGCTGCAGACGGAGTGAGTAGGGGGAGCGCAACAGCAGCCTGGGGGGAGCGGTAGGGGGAACAAGTGGTGGTTCCTTTAACTCCTCCCATCAACACCACCACTATCACCACAACTTCTGTTTTACTTTTCGCTCCGGCAGGCAGGGGAAAGAGGAGGGGGCGGAGAAGAGTGCGCGTGCCTGGCTGGGGCGCCTTTAGTATTAGTTTTTAGTTTTAGTTTTAGTTTTTTTTTATTTGTTCCCCCTCCTGCCCAGCCTACCTGGTGGTTTGTGTGGTAGCCGCACAATTTTTTTTGTGTTTTTTGCCGTCGTGCGCTGTGACGGGCACGGCGGAGCATTACAAAGAAGCAAGAAGGAAAGGAAGGGGTGAAGAGAGGGAGACGAGAGAATCAGCATTAATTTTTGCATGGGGATGGAAGCCCCTGAATTGGATATGCCGCGGGAGACGGCGGATCTGCGGCAGGTTCTGCTGGAGCTGGAGGACCGGGTTAAACAAACCGCCGGTGTGATGCGTGAATTGAGCGTCATCCTTCCAGAGGAGGAGAACCCCAGCAACAGCAGTAGTGCCACTAATAGCGTCGGCAACGTGAACCCCAACCTCACCGCAGCCATCGCGGAAGCCGTTGTGACGCCGCTAGAGGAGCTGCAGAAGTACGTGGATGCGTGTGACGTACTCATCCACGATCGCCTGGCACAGTTGCGCCACTACGTGGATGTCGCAGTGGACATCTCCAAATCGTATCAAAAAATGTTTCCTGAACTCCACGAGCGAGTCTGTGCAGCGACAGCGGCAGTAAATGCCTCTGGAGGCCTGCCGATGCCGAAGACTTCCACACCGATTGGTGATAAAATTTGCTATGAGGACGTGCGAAAGTATTTGTCACGGTTTGTGCGCTGGGATCCACTGGAGCTTGACCACGTTACCGACGCGGCCTCGGTATTGGTGGGTGAGGCGCACTGTCAGCCCGCTTCCTTGAAGTATGGGGACGTCGCCGGCAAAGAGCAGCACTATTTGGTGTTTCCGAATTTACAGCCACCACCTGAGCGCCCCGACAGCGCTCAACCAGCGGGGTCAAGTTATGCACACTTAACGTTGAAGCGAAGTTTGAACGCGGTAGTGAATGATCTGCTACTTCGGCAGCTGCAATACGATGGCATCCCGCTGGCTACCGCAATGGAGATGGAGTTGGGCTGCTACGATCGAATATCTGCAGGACCGAATGGAAACTCTTCTTCTGACTTTACATTTTTTGACGCTCGCATTCCACAAGAAATTCGTCGTGGCCTTCTGCATCCTTCAGCCGAGGCTGACAATGCCGGGGATTTACTCCAGCTTGTCCAGAACGCGTACCCACAAACGGTGCAGTGGATTTTGCAGATTGCGAACCTCTGCAATAACTCTGCCTCAACTCGTCTCGAGACGTTGGGGGTTGGTGAGCCGGCGACACGGGCCTCACCAACAGGTAACGCCGCGTCCTCGGTGCGGCACCCAGGGGACGAGAGAAGAAGTGAGGGGTTCACGGACCTCACGGTCTTTACGGAGCTGGGGTTAGTGGACATTCCTCACCAGGAACCAGAGGAAGAGGATGTACCGAACGAAGTAGCAGACCCAGCAGAGTACAGTCTTCAGCGTTCCCGAAACGGGCATGAAATCCATACGACAGGGCAGCTTCCGTCCACGTTTGCGCGAATGTGGGAACCCGCACTTGTAGCCGAGGAGGAAGATGCGGAAAGAAGTGTATTGGTACAACTTCTGCCGAGGGCAGGCCAACATGGCGAAGAGGAGGAACAGGGGCGTGCGCTCTTCATCTTCCCTAATGACGAGCCTGTATGGTCATATACGGCGGAAGACGAGGTGCATGAGGAGGAAAACGAAGCGGAGGAGGAAGAGGAAGAGCAAGAAGAGGAGGAAGAAGAGCAAGAAGAGGAAGAGGAAGAGGAAGAGGAAGAAGAGGAACAGGAGGGAGTAGGATTAGAAATAAGCACGGTGATGTACCTGGAGGAATCCCCCGCCGAAGATATCCCCCAGCAACAGCGGCAGCAACGTGAAGTGGAACTGCAAAATGGAGACGACAGTGCGACAGGCCATAGGGAGGGGGGAAACGTACAACTTCTGGATGCTGTGATGCAGCAAACCAAAATACTTCTATCTGATCTTGTAATCATTTGTGCGCTACAGCGCTTATCTCAAATGATTGTATGCGGAGAAGAGGCACCGATGAATGTGAAGCTGCAGCGGGCGGTTGATTTTGTTCTCATCCTTCGACAGCATCCGCTTGTGAAGTGGCGCATGGCGTTTGAGCAGGCGTTTCAACGTGCAAACGCCGATGAAGTAAAGAAGGGAGAAAATATACAAATGGATAAAATGGAACCCCCATCACTGTTGCTTACAGTTCATCACATTTTTGCCGCATTGGGTTATATGCCGCTTCCCTTGCACGAGCAGGAGCAACGGAGGCAACATCAGCGGCAGTTGCGAGGCAATGATAATGAGAAGGAAGAGAAGGATGGCCTCCCGGCCCATGCGCGGTCTGCGCAGGAGCACTTGCTCTCATGCGTTGCGCCGTTTCTGCACCTCTGGGGCGGGCGCCAGGGCCAGGGTTTGGATGCCTTTCTGTCTTGTGGCATTCCCTACGAGGCGGGGGACAATGAAAATAGTCTGCAGCAGTTACCACTGCTGCCTATATGTACGACGCCGTATGTCTGGCAGGAGTGTATTCTCTCTGACCTGCTAGACCAGGTCCACAAGCTGCGTCAGTTCGAGATGTTGCTGACACTAGCTACGTCTACGCCCACCGTCTCTGGTGCTTCTGCGTCTGCGTCTGCGTCTGCGTCTGCGTCTGCGTCTGCTGCTGCTGCTGCTGAGGCTAATACATCACACCCAGAAAATGTATTGTATCGTCTCGTCTATCCGTTGAGCACTCTGATGTTAAGCCGTCTCGACGAGTACTGTGAAAAAGGCCTTGTCGGAGGTTTTGAAGAGGAGCCGCAGCAACAACAGCCTCAGCAACCATTCAATTCGCAGCCTCCGCCTTCGTTGCCCCCGCTTCAACCAACAGCACAGCAGCAGCCTCAGAGCAGCATCACGGAGAGCGCACGCATGCATACTGTGGGCGCACTTCGGGACCTCTTCCCTATGTTTGCGGGTTCTGGGGGTCGCACTCGCGCTGCATCGGCCGAGGCCTCCGGTGGTGGCAACAACAGTGGAGCTGGTGAGGGTAACAGTGGCAATAACATACCCTCCTTACAACGACAATCGCTGCCGCGCCCGCAAGGTCGGCGCCAGCAAGCCATTACACTGGAACTTCCCCATGCTACTGCGGTGCTGTTGCAACAAGATGAATTGCGCCGCCGTGCGACGCCGTCGCTGCTCTCCCCACAGAAGCCCATCTGCTTTCATTCGGCGAATCCCACACTTTTTACGAACTCCTCTATCTTTTGGCAGCCCTTGTTTCAAAAGACTATGTGCTACTGCCCAGTGACACGCCGTCGCTGCCTCGACACAGTTCTCTTTGACGTCAACCCGGAGGGACCTCAAGATGTGTTGTCGACTTCAAGCAATCGTCCGGCTCTTAACGTTGCGCTTTTGCTCAATTGTGGACATGTCATTTCTAACCGGGCCATAATGTCGTTGCTGGAGCGGCCACAGCGCCAATCACGGACTCCAGCGACAACTGCGCGGTGCCCCTACTGCACCGCGGATACGTCCTTAGATGAGCTGATGATATTGCACTGCGTGTACTGAAGGTGTGTGTGTGCATTCTCGTTCGAGTTGGCTTTGAGTATTTTGATATTACGGTAGATGTTTTATTACGTTTTTAAAAAAAAAAAATGAAATGCGGCTTTTCGCTTCTGTTGCTTTTTTATTTTTATTTTCACAGTACGCGGAACCCTTTTTTTTTGGCGTCCACCCTCTTCCTCGTCTTTGCTTATTCCCCCTTCCCCTCCTCCCCCCCTTTTTTTTATTATATATATATATATATATATGTATATGCGTTGCCGGGAGGGTGGTTGGGGGTGAGGAGGTGAGTTGAGAAGTTTGCGTACATGTCTGTTTTGTGTTCTACCGATTTATTATTACACTCCTTGTTTTATGCGCTTTTATGCATGCTGGTCTTTGTTGCGCATGGGGTGATTTTCTCCGTAGGGATATTGGTGCTAGCGGCGCAGTGGGAAGCCGTGCACATGTCAACAGTGAGGCTTCCTTCTGTGCCTCCGCGGAAGCACGTCCTCGACAATCGTGTGCAGCGGTCCATGCATGGGTGGTCCGTCATTGAGAAGATCAGTGACTTTACGCACGCTGTCTGCCGTGTGACGGACGGCCGCGGATCTGCCATTCTTATCGCCTGTCCATCAGCAGACTCCACTATCCGCTGCGATGCATTCCATAAAGGGCAACAGCATCCGCAGATGCGGCGCAATGACATTGGTGTGCTGCTTACGACTTCCTTTGTGTTTCCTAGTCGAGAGGAGGCACAAGGGTCAACAGTGACGTTTCTGGAGCAGCCTATTGCAGGGACAAGCGCGCGGGAGGGACGTTGTGTGGAGCCGTTGCAGGTTCCAGTGAGCGTGGACAAGGTGTTTGTCTGCTCCACCTCTAATGCCCCGCCTAGGATGCGGTCCAAGTGGGGCGGCGTGGGAGCGTCCATGTCTGTATCCGGCAACTCTCGATCGGTGGACTACGATACCACGAGAAGGAGTTCGATGTATACTTTGAACCACAGTTTTATGCGGGAGGAGCACGCTGAAGAGGAAGAGTTGGGCTACACCTTGACCTTTTGCGACATGAGTCGAATGTGGGACGGTGGTATGTCCAGCAATTCCTTTGCGAAAGGGTCCTATTTGGGTGGACACCCGCCCGTTTCGTCTGACGTCAGCATAAGCGTTTCGTGCGCCGCCCCTTTTTTCCCTGTACTTCAAACTCGTCTTTCGGCCTCTGCGTCAGAGCGGCACGAGACGTCCAACAACGTTTCCGTCCCATGTTTTTTCCGCACAGAGAGTTTTGGCGTGCGTTCGGCGCCGCAACTGCGGGAGTCGTGCCTTATTAAGCCACTACCGCTGCCATTGCTCCTCTCTCGCATCCCTCCAGTGCGTGTTGGTGACTGCCATTTGATGATTACACACGTCAACGGTAAGGAACGGCACTACGTGGTGCAGACAGTGAAGCAGGTGGGAAAGGATTCATGCGAGTACGATTTTTTTGATCCGGCAAGTGAATTTAGTAGCGGCGGCCCCATTTTTGACATGCTCGGGAATTTTGTGGCGATACAGCACCAGAGCGGGGATCACAGCTACGGCATCTTTACCACCTCAATTGTGCGTCACCTTTTTCAATCCTCCGTGCTGGGCGTCTGCCGTGTGCCGATCATCGACGTTGGCGTGGACGAGGCGAAGTTTGACATGAATGCCGTGGTCCCTGATGAGGTGTTTAATCAGCCGTTTCACCTTAATCAGCGCTACTGCGTGTTCAACGTTGGCGCCGGTGATCAACTGATTGAGTTTGATGATTTTGAGCGTATGCGCATGCGCAGCAACATCCGGGGCTCAACGCTGCCTCCTTCTCTTGTGGCGCCTGCCAGTGATGAAGTATGGCAGGAGTTCTACCACGGCTTTAATAGTCTCATTCTTATTTTGCATGCCTTTTCACATGTGCCCAAGCTGACAAAACTCGCATTAGAGGAGATCACCTCGCATAAGCATCGTAAAGACTTACCAAACGTGTCCTCTCTCGGGGGTATTGGGCTTGTGCTAGAGATTATTGATGGATACCCTGAAAATGAGGAGGTTGTGTTGGCCGCCCTTACCGTCCTGGCTCGAGCTTCTCTGTACACATCTAATCGTGAGGCCATTTGCCGCTGTGATGGAGTCTTGACCGTGTTGGAAATTATGAACGAGTACTCGCATCATGGCAACATTCAGCTTTGGGGATTTTGCTGCCTGTATAACGTTATGGCGTCGGATTCACCCGTGCGCACAGACTCTATTGAAATTTTTGCGCACAGTCAAGGTATTCCATTGGCTATCGAGGCACTTTGCGTTCATCGTGCCCAGCGTTACTTATTACGTTATACAGCCTTTGCGCTCAGCTGTGTGGCTCACGAAGATGCTCGGCATGTGAGTGCAATGATTCGAGGTGGGATCGCCGACGTTATTGTGGACCGGATGAACGAGAATGAGGATGATCCCTTTGTGTTTCTTGGCTTGGCGACACTACTGCGTGAACTGCTGTATTTATTTGGGAGCGGGGTCTTGTTGTTTACAGGGGACGCCCCATCAGACGCATGTGCCTTGGAGGTGGCCACATGGGCTGACGGTGCCCCCATGCCTCTATGGGATGCATCCAACTGTTGCAGTTGTAGCGGTGAGGTTGGCGGTGCTTTGCTTGCGGCTCTGATTGATGGAAAAGTTCTCACCATCCTTGGGAAGGTTATGGCATGTGAGTCACTGAACCACTATTCGACCGCCGCGATGACGTTGCTGGGGGTCTGTAGCGATGCCGTGCTGATGCTGCTCTCGTGCGGCGCGACGGAGCTTAAGAGAGAACTGGTATCCACGACGTTGAAGCAAACATGCGTGAATATTGTGCAGAACTTTTCAACGGAGAAGGTGCTGCTGAAGCGGACGCAGCAAATTGTAAATGTTTTTTCGTCATTTGCATGAGCGGCACTGTGGCGTGTGAGAAGATGTACAAAAAAAAAACGACGCTCCATTGGAGGGAGATCGCCCGCGTGTATTATTTTTTGTTGTTGTTGTTGTTTTCTTCATCGTTGTTATTATTTTCTTCTTTGATTTTATGTTTGTTTATGCTCTGCGGCACTCAAACACGCGGACGAGCTACAAAGAGAGAAACAGCAACAAACAACAAACAAACAACACAAACCAAAACAAAACGAACCACAAAAAAAAAAGGAAGGATAAGTAAGACAATTAACGCCATTGCGTCTTTTTTTTTTGGCCTACCTGCCTGCCTGTCCGTCTGCCTGGGCCATCGGCACATGTCACATGCGGAGGGAGGAGCTGTTTTGCTTCCGAAGGGTGAAGCGCGTCTCAGTGAGTGTGAAGGGGCCGCGCTGGCACTGCTGAGTGACGCGGCAGGACGGCCACACGATGAGTGCTCCGCGCAGGTGTGGTACCGTCGACGCGAAGCGACGCTGACGTACGACCGAAAGAAGGGGCGTATATTCCTGCAGCAGGCTGACGCGAAGGGGCGGGTCGCCAAAACTGCAAACTTCTCCATGTGGAATGTAATGAACATTGAAACCCCGGAAGAATGGGCCTTGCGCCAGTCGCGGCGCACCATGTCGGGCCCGGCAAACACTGCCGTGACTTCGGGAAAGCCGCATGCACGTCGCTCCTTCCGTGGCCTATTGACAACTTCACCACAGTTCATTGAAACAATACACTCGCACTCTCGAAGCTTTTCCGTTGCGTCCTCACACCATTTTGGGAACGAGTCCCATTCGGCCATCGAGGCAAGCGTGGCAGGATTGGCACGTTCCATTTCCAGCGGCGTTCGATCCTCCGATGTTTCCGGGCGTACGTATCACCTTTACTACGTCAAGGAGTCTGCTTCATCGCCGCGCGTTTCCACGGTGAAATTTGCATTTCTACCAGATGATAAAAATAGAGAAGACCTTCGAGTTGTTGTGCAGGCGATTTTGCACGGCCTGTATCCTCGCGGGGCGAAGCAACTCTTCTTGTTTGTTAGCCCAAAATCAGGTACCGGCAATGGTGTCAACATCACGGAAGAACAGGTACTGCCAGCGTTGTATTTTACTCGGCACGAGGTGTGCGCGTTTATTACAACCCGCGTCTTTCACTGTGAGGATTACATTGCAAACATCACGAACGAGTTCAACCGTGAGCGCGTCATTGTATGTGTTGGGGGCGATGGAATGATTCACGAGGCTGTGAACGGCCTGTTCCGGCGAAAGCGGGCTCTGTTAGAGAGGGAAGAGGCCGCAAAGGCGACCAAGACGTCTAACTCTTGCGGATGGGGGGAACAACATCATAAGAAAGATAAGGATACAAAAGAAGCGGATGCAACTGGGAATAGCAGTCTTTCTTTATGGGAGAAAAATAAGAAGCACGAACGGGGGGAGGGGGTTCAAATGGAGGGGAGTAATCTCCCGGAGCCAAATGGAAGACAAGTTGTGAATGAAATTCCTCCGAATTCCGGTTTCTCCACAGGCAACAAGTTTTCCATGTTGTTGATCGCTACCATCCCTTCCGGCAGTGGGTGCGGGATGGCGAAGACGCTCGGTGTCCACTCGATAAAGGAAAGCATCCTTGCCCTTGTGCACCTGCAAACCTGCACTAAGGATCTGATGAGTATGCAATACCTAGTAAAACAGGGCCATGAACGGCATCCAAACTTCTTCCCACACACATTTGTTAAGACTGCGGATAAGCGGGAAACATCAGACCACTTGCAAGAGGAAAAGAAGGAAACGACCACTGCAGAACGTATTGCTTTTATGTCCATGACATTTGGCCTTTTAAATGATATTGACCGGGGTTCCGAGAAGCTGCGGTGGATGGGAAATCATCGATTTACCGTGTACGGGGCATACACGTTTCTGCGAGGTGTGCGTTCGTACCGTGTGCGCATGCGGTATTTGCCGTGGTTGGGACGGAAAGGCGAGAGAATGGAGAAACTGGAAGATTCGGGTTCCATTCCAGGCGAAGTGGGAATTCCTCACTGCACTCGCACGGACGCTTGTAGTCACTGTCAGGCTCATAGGGATCCTACGACGACGCCTGGGTCTTCCCAGGAATTGGGCCAGTTCACATTCACCTCTCAAGACACGATGGATAGCGACTCCTCATCCATGTTGCAGCGCGAGGTGGTGGACTTTGACGATAACAGTCTTCCGTGGGTGACGCTTGATGGAAGTCATTACGCCATTTTTTTAAGCAACATTCGTGACGCCGCAAAGGACATTGTTATGACGCCTTTGGCTCATATGAGCGATGGTGCCATTGACATTGTGTTTGCGAGAGAGAAAGATAGTAAGTGTGGCCGACTCCACTTTTTGAAGTTTTTTACCGATATGGAATCTGGAAAACACGTTTACCTGCCCTTTGTGAGCTACGTCAAGGCACGTGCGGTTGAATTGGAGGCTGTCGAGGGGTTTATTATGTCCGATGGCGAGTCGATGCCCTTTACAAAAGTGCGCGTCATCCCGATGCGCCGCGCTGCTGAGTTTGTGCGAGGGCAGTAGATTTTTGTTTTTAATGAAAAGCGTAATGATAATAAAACATTTCTCTCCATTCAGAACGTTTTACGCAGGTAAATTTGGGGAGGTAACAGGCTATGGGGTCAAGCCACCCACGCACACGGAAGGAAACGGGGGAGAAAAGAGAGTGACTGCAGGTAACAATCCTTTATCTATCCTTATTATTTTTTTTCTTCTCTCTCTCTCTCTCTCTGTGTGTGTGTGTGTGTGTGTGTGTGTATGCCGGGCTGCGGCGGTGGTTGGGAGCGTGTCATGTATTCCGCATTCCCTTCGTCTTTATTGTGGGGTGGGCCTGATGGTTATTCTGTCAAATGATGGAAACGCGCAAACGCACCCTCAACCTTTATGTATTAACAAAACTAGCAGGGAAGATGGAAGAGAAGGGAACACTTCGCTTTTCCCTTATTTTTTAGCCTTTGGAAAGCAGCGAAGGCAACACATATTAAGAGGGAAAATGCTGTTTGTGTGTACCTGAGTTTTTTTTTTTATCTTTCTCTCTCCCCCCATCCTCTCTTGCTTTGCTTTGATGGTGGCGCACCAGCGATGGGGAGCGTGGCACCAAGCAGTGATAAAGGAGGATGATGGCGGGGACTCTCACCTTTTTTTTTCCTTTTCCTTGTGTGGACTTACACCATTGTACTCTATGCGTGTTCACGTATTTGGCTTTATGAATGCTTCTATATTCGAAC